CTTCACCATTCATATCTTTAGTTAATAAAATCATCTCATCTAATTTCTTATCAAAAAGAAAATCGCGAACATGTTGCTCAGACCAAGATTCACTTGGAATTTGTTGATAATCGGTTGATATAACACTCGGACGAACAAGTAGTGTCGGGGCTGGTAGTAGAGATGTAGGTGCTGGTAGTAGAGATGTAGGTGCTGGTAGTAGAGATGTAGGTGCTGGTAGTAGAGATGTAGGTGCTGGTAGCAGAGATGTAGGTGCCGTTTGTAGTACGGGAAAAGCGGCAGCAAGAGACAACGGCAAGAGACATAACTGTAAACGGTTATGACCGGTTTACGGTTATGACCGGTTTACGGTTATGACCGGTTTACGGTTATGACCGGTTTACGGTTATGACCGGTTTACGGTTATGACCGGTTTACGGTNNACCGGTTTACGGTTATGACCGGTTTACGGTTATGACCGGTTTACGGTTATGACCGGTTTACGGTTATGACCGGTTTACGGTTATGACCGGTTTACGGTTATGACCGGTTTACGGTTATGACCGGTTTACGGTTATGACCGGTTTTGTGGATAATTAAAGTATGATATTTTGTACGTTGAAACCAAAGTTGTATATTCTTTTAATTCGAGCTAATTCTTATATTTATTGTATAAGTGAACAAAAAATAATGATATTTTGTTTGTGCCTATTTGCTATATTTTTTTACTGATGTATTAAAATAAATGTTTGTTTTTATACAAATAAATTTATAAGTAAAACCATTAAAGTTTGTAGCTGAGCGAAATGTAGGTTGAGATCAAGAAGTATTTTTACGCTGGCTGTTTTCCTAGACCATCGCGAAATATATGACGAGTGGGATGTTGTTAAAGAAAATGATTTCTGCTTTTGTACCTCATTGTTGGAACAACTAGGTTTCAATAGTTATCATAGTTCAATGTATAGTTCAGTTTTGTAGAGTGCCTCGAGTTACCTAGGAAACCATATTTTGTTTTTAAAAAAAGGCGTGCGGAAATTGGTGAAAAAAAACACACCATATTCTAGTTTAATGCTTTTAAAAGGAAGGGGTATGGAGGTTTTTAGAAACGTTTTATGAAAACCTGGCTTTTCGAAAACATTTTACTTTCCGATAAAAAAACAAATCCAAAAATACTTTCAATAACACCAGAAAGAACAAAATGAGATATCTGCCAGCTCTGAATGATGTTCTAATCAAGAGTTATAAGACTTTGGTGGGAGCCCTAAAACATGCATCAGATACTGGCGCCACCATATCTGGTAAGCGACTTTCACCATAACACCATTTCATAGCTGCAAGATTTCTCTGTAACTAAACATCGCAGAGAGCTTGGGAAAGTCTTAAATCCAAGCTGACACATGTGGCCAGATGCTAGTAGAGCCTGATTTTTGATATTCGGTCTAGCTTTGTGGTTAGAAAAATACCTTTATGCAAGTTAATGAGACTTTTTCGAATTTTGGACTTTTGACGCTGAAGCAAAAAGTCCCCTAGGTATCCATCGTTCTTATTTCAATCCGTCGTTTTCGAAAAATTTTGAAGTGACCATTCGATAAAGCTCTGATAGTTAATCACGTAGCATAATTCTCAAGATTTCGAGATTTATTATTTTTAAAAAATTACCTCATTCGGTTAAAAAATGGTCGAGTTATGCAAATTTCATATCCAGCAGTGACTTTTGAGACATCCTGTAGCTGCTTTAAGGCCGGCTTTTTGTTCTTTATTAAAATATCATTGCAATAAAATACAGAAGTATATGAAAACTTGTGATCGTTTAGTGAATGCACTAAATATTTCTCTATAGAGAATGAGATGCGTCTCGAATTTCCGCAATGAGCCGTCACAAAATGTAGCGATTTTGAAAACAGTCCAAAAGATGAGTTTGGCGCCATAGGAATAACGATCAGAAAATGGTGAAAATAACCCTGCAAAAAATTTTCAATTTATACCGGTTTGTGCAGAAATGTTTACGATGCGATACGATTTTAAAGTTTTAAATTCTGCTAGTCAAACGGTATACGTCTCACAGAAATGAAAAAACCACAAAATAACGCTCGTCTGCCCTCGCTCGGTCCCTTGACTTTAGGAACTTAAGTTTGCGAACGATCTTCCATGACTTTTGAATCGAAGACAACGCTCAGTCTCGCTTCGGTCGGCGTTCGCTAGGAAACTATCAATATATGCTATGAATTTCAAATTTATCTCGGATTTCAGGTGTAAGCTCCCTAATATGATGTGAAGCTAAAAGGTTTTCTAGAAACTCTCCAAAGGTCTCCTGAGCTCTAAAAAGATTTCTGAAGTGAAAGACAGTGCTCACGCTTCCTTCGGTCGGCGTTCGCACCCAGGATAGGTGCGAAACTTTGTGAACTTCTCTGATCCACAGAAAAAGCACACAATGTAATATAAAGCCAAAAAGTATTCTGGACACCCTCTGAAGATCCGAAGGGGGGCTGCAAGTATTTCTGATCGATTCTCCATGATAGATTATCTGTATGCTGTAAGTTTTATTATCCATAGATGACTTTTTTCTGTTATCAAACTGGCTGATTTCCGGCGACATCTGTCTCGCAACTACGGAAAAGGGTTGCTATCCTATTATGTCAGAAAAATGTATGCAATAGTATGGCAAGTGGTGGAAAGAGTTTTTTCACGAACATGTTGAAGTGGGATAAATGCTCCTTTCGATGAAACGAGTAAAGTAGTCTCGAAGTTTATTTTCGAAGAGATAACTTTAAGAGAGAGAGAGATCACTGTCAATAATAATGAGTGCTATTATATTCTACTAAGTTCCGGAGCGTCATCAAGCCATTTTGGGTCCGGAAATGTCATTAATAAACCCAAATGAGTTTCGAACTAGGTTTTCTCCTCTCTGGAACTCATTTAGTGGGTTTAATAATCAACCTTTCTGTTAGAGAGATATGGTTTGACATTTTGAATAGAATGGTATGATTTTATTCAGGTGTTTATTTGTTTTTTGATAATATAAAGCCAAAATTCAACAAAGCAAACAAATGATCGTATGGATTATGAACTACGTTCCACAGATTTACAACATATCTGTCTTTATGATTTTATCATAAAATACAAAAAAGTTGAAGTTCATAGATCTCCGAATGGAAATACGGATCATACATCATCACAAAACCATCGTGGACCGGCGAAAAATGAGAGATTTACTTTTCTATCGGCCCATCCGCAACATAATACACATGTAATAATGAAACGTGCAAATATCATCATACCTAACCTAATTGGACCACAACTTCCTAGAAACTATCATCCCGGTACTATCGAAAGGTATTCAAAAGCCATGCTAGCACTCTTCGTACCATGATGGTCATGTCAGAATCAAACCAGAGAGAATCAGTGTCTAGGCGAAGATCTCAGTTTGATGAAATAGATGATGAAGATTTAGAAGAGGCATTAAGCTTATATGACATGCTGGCTTAAAATGCAGATTATGCAATGCATTCCACGCGAGGCACTTCAACAAATATATATACACGAAGCTATCAAAAGTGCTGAAAGAGCTGGACGATTTCTATATATATCAAATAATTATAGACGTGGTAAGAGATATTGATTCGACTTTCACTAACGTTGTAATTTTTCTTTTATTTAAATTGAAAATTATGTTTTTGTTCAATAGGAAGGATAGACACACAACCATCAACGGCATACTTGAGCGAAGCAAATGATCAGGATAGAAGAAATACAGAACGTTGGGAGCAGATAATGATAGTGGATAAGCTTACCATTAGAAATAAAATGATACATGGCAATAATACTGAATCAACGGGCGATAGTCTAACTGTAACTGATCATAATGATATCATCAGGGGAGTATAGACTCCATATGTGATAGCGATTTAACGTTATATTCAGACGACCCTTTACAAGAAATTGGTGTATCAAAATGTATCGGATTTCCTGCGAGTCCGATGTTTTGTGAGGGAATAATGAATTTTTGAATATTAGGTGAAAATAGCCTGGAAACCCTAATTTCGTAAAACTGGCTTTTCGGTTTTAGAACTTTTTCTTATAAATATTTCCGCAAAACTCAGCATGATCGATTACCCATAGTCCATCAGTCTTTAAGGCTACCAATAGTCACCGGGCGCCAGTCCTGGGACTCGCAGGAAATCCGATACAGCGCCCGAACCATGGAAAACCAAGGGCTCACTTTACCTTGATTTTGGAGAGGACATCCCAAGCTATCAGCCCATGAGAAAACAGCAATATAAACCTATTGGAAAATCTTTACAGACGGCCTAGTTTTCCAAAGATCTCCTAGAAAACCTGTTTCAGAAAACTCTTCTGAAAATACTGTTGGTTATGAAAACATGGCTCCAAGTCTCGTCTTTCGAATGGCGGAAAGCGCAGATCTCTATCTTGCTCCTATCAAAAGTTATTCGCAATCAAAGTCGTTCAGTGACTTATGGGACACCCTGTAGGTTTTCACTCGGTTGTTGCATTTTGTTCTGACAACAAACATTGCCACGAGATTCAGCATAGTCGATAACCTATGTTTTCATTCGTTTTTGATAGTCCCAAACCTAACGGCAGAGGAGTGCTAAGGCTTCAGGAAAAACGTCCAGAGCTCCCGAACCATAGATTTCCAGGATGTCGCTTAGATTCAGTTTTGTAGAGGACACTTCAGGCCATATATCTATGAGAAAAAGCTCATACGTTTATATGTCAGTTTTCAGAGAACCGAACTGGTTTTCCAAAGATCCTCTGAAAAACCGGCTTCGAAAATCTTTCCGAAATCCATTTTTGCTTATGGAAAGATAGCTTCAAGTCTTGGCCATCGAATGGTGAAAAACGCAAGTCTTGATCTTGTGTTTCCTTCGAGTTATTCAAAAGATAATGACCGGCCTTGCTTTTTGGAACGGATAGTAACTATGTTAAAGAAAAAGCTGAATTTTAAGAGAACAAAGAGACTGACAGTCGGGAAACGTTTTTTCCTGAATCACCAATGTTAGTATTATATAACCTAATAACGGAAAAAAGATCTAATTCAAGGTTATTTTTTCTAAATTTTCACTCATACCGTACAATATTAGCGCAAATCGCATATATCTGCGTGTTACTTGAATGAGAAAAAAACGTTTATCATATAAGAAAAATTTTCGTTTGGTATTCAAGGAAGTATATAGCAAGTATCGACCTATGTGTGATGGTCCTATCTTATATTATCCTCGAGAAAGGTAAGTCACGAGATTTTGCCTGTTTTTGCGCTGTTTTTGCGAGACGCGTTATTTTTTCTAAGTAGTAGAGTTTTGAAAAAATTAAGTTTAATAGATCATGAAAGCTGAACATCTAAGCTTTCGATTTGTAAAAAGATTTTTCGTTTAAGTCATTTTTCCAAGGAAAAAATTACCGAAACAATTTTCGCATACACGTGCACGAGAGAAGTGTTCAGTATAGTAAGCGCGCTAATTTTAGCTAAAGTCCGTTCAAGATGAAGCTTTCAGGATTTGCTCTCCAACATGTGACGCGTCGATGTATATATGCCCAAAGATGCCCAAACTTCAGAGTCCGGAGTTATGAGGATTTCAAATCCGTAAGGTTTCTGAAAGATTTTTTCGTGTTTTTCGGCACTTCATCTCAAAAGTAAGGACATATTTGGAATCAGCGCGCGAAACTGTATCGATCTGTATATCTTTTAATAACTTCGCGAGAAAAAGCTTTTCGGTAAAAGCAGTATTGTAAGAAAATAGCATCCATCGGCAGTCTTGTCTGAAATGACGTTAAACTACTGAAGTATGAGCCTAAGAGTCCGAGAAGACGTTAAACTACGGCAATGGTGTTTAGGTAAGGTCTGTTACGGTTAAGGATAAGGCCTTGGTTCTTCTGGTTTCTGTGGGTAGTGGTTAGCTGTGGAGGGTACAATTGGTTCTGGTCGCCCAGATGAGTTCGACTGCCGAACGCACCCCCTCTGGCTCTTTTGCAGTTTTGAGCAGCAGCGGCCAGTTCTTCCGAGGCCACAACTTCAAACTACTATCATTTTGACTACTTTGAAGCTTCCGTTATTCCCGAAGCGGCTAGCTGAGCAGAAAAGGCACCCAAGGAGGCTTTAAAGCTTCGGAGAGAGTCCCATGACGTTACGGGATGGAAGTTGAGGGTGCTAAGAGGCCTAGGTGGAAATATTTTGGGAAAAGAAAACGAAGAACAAAAGAAGAAAAAAGATCATTTAACTGCGATAATTTTGGAACGTCTATTAGAGCACTCAATACAATTCAATCAGAGTTTAAATCTCAGTTGTACAATTCAAAGAACGAAAATGAAGCAATTAATACAATATATCAGAAATGGGTTGCAAAAATTATCTGAAGCAAAACTTCTTCCCGATGCCATTCAGTTTGTTTCACCCACCCTATCATTAATTGTCATTGTGTAAGTAAAATAAAATTTAAACGATTTTTGAACTTTAGCGCTGAAGAAGTCTTGCTTAAAGCTTGACGAAGGGGTAAACAAAAGAAAGTTGATCTCATCTGCTCCTTTCAAAGAAAAAGGTTGAATAGAAGAACTTGCTTCTATTATCAGGAGTCGAGAGTGATCATCGAGTTTTTTATTAACTGAGAAAAAGAAAACTTATTAATTTTCTACTGTTTGTAGGTATACAGAAGCTATTCTAATATAGCCATTCTAAGAAGCTACTAATATATAATTCATTTGTAAATCGTCCTGATGCTGTGGTTACATGGGACGCGGCTTTTACATTTTAAATATGCGTGGAAACAAGTGTTCCCACAAAAGAAACCATTCCCAGTCTCCAATACAATTATAAGTGATCGTTATTTCGTGCTTCTTCGTGCATCATTACATCAGTTTAATAATGAATCTTACGAGGGCTATCTACAGCGTATATTTAAAATTATTGATGGACATACATCACCAGAAGATAAACTTAAAACGAAGTTGCATGCCTGTTTATCACACATGATGATGTATTTTCGAAAAAAACTGGTGAATAAATTAGTTATTGCTGAATTACGTGAGATTGCTATGTGGTGTTTATCTTTGCTTGTGAATACCTCAATATGGAATGAAATGTTAGAAAACTGGCGATTAATATGCATTGTATTCATTAATTATTTTTCGACATCATTTCCATCCACTACATTTAAATTATTAGCAACTAAAATTATGAATTTGAAACGTGTTAATCCATCATTTCATCTTTTAATGGAAGAAAGCAAAAACACAAATGGAATAACACAACAAAATGAAGAAGTTGAAAGAGGAACAACAAGAAATAAATCGGTATGTTTATAACTTCTCTCACCTTATTCGTAGAGTTAATCGTTCCCCTTTTTTCTGTTATCGTCTCTTTGAGCAAAGCTAATCAATAAAACAGATAGTTTCTCTTCATTTATCACTGTTTTATATAAATAAGGGAAGAAAAGTGATGTTTCTTTTTTCTCTCAAGTTCTTACTTGCTGAAATTGTAAAACAAGGCCCATATGTTTTTTTCAGCTGATTTAGTGAAAGAATATCTTTTGATATAGTCTCCCTTTCTGTTTAGAATAAAGATACTGATCCACATGACTTTGATGATGACGTTAATATAAATGCTGGTGAAACAGAAGAAATCTTGCGAAAAACGAAGAATTATAATGATCATATATATGCCATATTTAATGAACAAACACAGTTAGAAACCATTAATTCCGGATATAGTACCAGGTTCAATGAAATATGAGAATGTTGAAAAACAACAAAAGCCGACAGTCACAGAAGATGCCAAGCAAAAAACAACCCAAAATATCAGGTTTTTAAAATATTTATTAAAATGGTATATGCCATCAGTCATATTGTGGTCTGATTTATTAATTAAACCAAATGTTCAACAGTCAAATGCACAATCGGAATGGGCAATGAGTATTGCTAAAATTGTTCATCTTGGTGGTCTTGTACACGGAAGACTAGATGCTGTGTTAGATAATTGATTGAGAAACAAATGGAGACAATACAGTCATTTGTCGAATGTGATTTTATTACTCAATGTAATCCAAGTACAAAACAAAAATTAGTCAGCGAACAATGAAGATCAAAAAATGCCAAACGTGCCTATTATCAACGACTACCCACTGAAGAGATTATCCATCATATTGATACACACACTACTCGACTAGTGCTACAAAAGGCGCGAGGTATTGACTTTGGCTAGATGGTGTTTCTTGTGACGGTCTGCCAAAAATCCCGTCAAAATCCTCAGTTACTAATACATATTGACTCCGAACTAAGTCGAAATTTGGATGCAGCATGTCATTTTATGAGTAATTTAGTACTTTTTTCCGTTTCGGACCCTAGTCAGATGATAGGATTTTGACGGGATTTTTGGCAAACCGTCACAAGAAACACCATCTAGCCAAAGTCAATACCTTGCGCCTTTTGTAGCACTAGTCGAGTAGTGTGTGGACTAACAAGATCTCGAAGAACCAACGGGTAGTTTTCGAGGGAGGAGACCGGGAAGGGCCAAAGTAGGTCTCACGGCTACGCTTACCATAAAGAAGTAAAAAGTGCTAGAGACTTCATTGTTGCGTCATATGAACAAACTTGGAAGCCGTTTTCATTTGAATATAAATAAAGTTATGTTTTGTTGGGTTTTGAGCTCGTCCAGCGCGCTATAAAACGAGTGATATCTGCTAATGCAGTTAAGGTCCTCCAGTCAAAAATTCTTTCCTAATGTCAGAAGAGAAAATCTCATTTGCGGATAGAAATATGCAACTTTGTATGCTCTTTCAAGCTAGCAGTATGAGAACGCTTGTTAGTATTAGGTAAGGTCGGATTCCGCTGTTCTGACACTCCTAAAAACACTTCAATTCAGAACTTATGCTCGATGAAAAACCGTGTTCGGAATAATTTTTCTATGCGGCGACAGAGGCCTTTACATACCTTTAGTAGGACTATCGATTGCATATAGTCAAACCTTCCCGGCTTTTAGCTCATGTAATACTGGGCGGATCTGTGCGGAAGTACCCTTTTGATATTTCGAGTCCGATCTATCCAAGTCTTAGTAACTTAGCTGGAAAGCTTCTGTGCGTTCCGACTACACTGGCGCCTATTAAACCTATTTTTTCTAAATCAGGTTTTTTGATCAGATGCAAAAGAGTACGTTTTACGAAAAACAATCTATCTCAACTGGCATTGTTAAAATGCAATACAAGTTTCAACTGTTTCAACAAGATTGATATATTAAATGGCACAGAAAAAAAAGAGAAATAAACAACAATCATCAAAAAAGAATCTAAAAGATTACCGGACTCAAAATGGACTCGGGACTTGGACTCGGACTCGATGCCTCCCCCGGACTCGATGCCTCCCCCGGACTAGCCCATCTCTGTCTAGTTTGTCGTAATAGAATGGAAAAACGAAATAACTTGCATAGAAACAATAGGAGAAAAACAACAATTATAAAGAAATTTGAAACTTTTAACTTTCATTTGAGTTCTCAGAAAATAAAAAATATTGTTTGTAATGAAAGTTTATAGCACCTACACAACTTACCAAACTATTTATAATACAATAGTTGCTGATTTCCTAAAACCAGCATTGAGTAAATTACGTATAATCTTTTTCATAGTAAACGCGTAAATTTTCTGAGAAAATCTTTAAAAGTGTGACCTAAAACTTTCTTATTCACAATTGATAAAATATTTCTTGCATATAAAGCATACTAATTCTAGTTTATCGTTTCGGACGTTTATTATTAGAGGATATGTCAGTATTAAAACCAATAATTTATAGTGATGGTATGCCAAAGAATTTTTAATCAGTAGATTTAGTTTTTTTTTGGTTAGTCCAGGTGCTCTACTTTGAAGAACTGATTTAAGAGTTTGATGGTTTCTTTTTGGGTTTGTTCTATCAGTAGTATGATTATTTCTTGAACTTTTTTATATTACGAAAATTAAAATGTTGAACAAGCTTAAATAAAAAACACAAATTCTCGCAACGTGAATGAATGAATTCGTGAAAAAAGAATACTAGCACCACTACTCATTCACGCTACTTGCATTTTATTGCACACCGAAATCATATGATCAAGTGAGAAAATGAGGTCTTTTTTTATAAGCGGAATTTCATACATTTCATACGGTATGATAAATAATTGTCTTATGAATGATAGAAAGTCTTTGCACGATTTAGACTAACATTATTGGAATTACTCATATTAACTAATTTTGAACTCGGCTTTGTATTTGTTTTTTCTTGTTGTTGATACAGAGAATCCTACAATGATATATAGACATATATAAAACGTATATTTTATATTGTATAAAATGATGAACTTACCGGCGTTATTCTGTGATCATCATTTGACAATGTGGCACTAGTTTGTCTTAATGTTAAATATTTAGCTGATTGAGCTAAAAGAGACTTTCTTAAACGTTTATTTTCTTCCACTTGACGAGATAATTCCATAACCAATTCTTGACGTTCTCGTTCAGCACTAATCTAAATGTTAATTACAGAAATTACTTTAAAGCATGCTGTTGTTATAATATTCAAATGAATTCAACATTCGTTTGTTAACCGCTATTTTTCTTAACCAAAAGAAATAATTTATTTTTAATAATCAAAAGCCATAAAACTTGATTCAGACACTCTTTTCACTACTGTCTAAACTTCACATCTTTTGATCGAAAAAACACTCGGAGCTCTCGATCGTCTCATGTTATGAAGAAAAATACACTTAATAAAATGAGAGTCCTAAAGCTGTTTGGTTATGAAGATACAGAACAAGGGTATACATTTAAAAAAAGAAAATTTTTCAAGAGTATTGTTGAATGTCTCCTCAGCCAAACATTTTTGAGAGCTTTAGGACTCTCATTTTATTAAGTGTATTTTTCTTAACAACATGAGACGATTGCGAGTTTCGAGTGTTTTTTCGTTCAAAAGATGTGAAGATAAGACAGCAACGAAAAGAGTTTCTGAACTACGTTTATACCGAAGTTACGTACAATAGCCGTGTAGCGAATTATAAGACGAATAGTTGTCTGACAATAATTCATCAAAAATCAAAAGATAAAGGGTAAAAACACTGAAAATAATCTTACTTTGTCATTACCAATATTATCAGCACCATTTAACTTCATTGTTCGTAAAAGGAGTATACTTTCGGTTTTTAACCGATTTAATTCAGATCGTAAACGATCATTCTCCAAAACTAAATGCTATAAAGATATATTACGTTTATTATAAGCGGACGTGTTTTCTCTACTCATAAGTGAGTTGAAGAAATCGATAAGAGAGTAGAAAGAATAAATACCTATTCAAGATTTTTAGTTTCACTTTTATTCAGAAGTGTTTTCTGAATTTACGATTAGAAATTTGCTATTAATTAGAGCCAAGGTGGTTTGTTACGGTTATCTTATACGGGTCGTATACGGCCGCATACGATTCAGATACGCCGTCTTTACGGCCGTAAACGATTAAATACGGACCGTTTACGCACCATATTTTACCGTAAATCAGGCCGGTGTTTTACGACTGTATGTATGCCGTACCATATACAGCGTGTTTACGGCTTAAATAAGATCATCGTATATAGTCGTATATGCACTGTAAATGACCGTAAGCATACCGTATTTCTACCGTATATAGATGCTTCACGGTCTGGAATTATTCGAGCAATAGTTTTGCTTTCGTCTAATTAATATTAGTTTTATTGTCAGATCACGTAAGAATTTATCAGATCGTATAAGATTATGTGCCTGATCGTGTTCTATAAATTTCCTTTCGATCCTCTTAAAAAAGTATCTTTCTCTATTCATAATATTTTCTGGCATAGGTAGGACGCAAACATCCTTAGAATCGTGTTTAACAAGTGAAATTTTTAGCCATGCACTTTATTGGCGCTCAGCTGATGTTTGAAGACGAAGAAATAAAAAAATTCTAAGTTTTATCATAAGAACTATGTTATATATATTATATACTCAATATCATAGCAAAATTTATGTGATAAGAATGAGTCATCGATTCTTGCAAGATCATATAAGATCTTATAACAAGAAATCGTATGATCTTGCGATAAGAAATAAATATAAGTCACATCTCTCAATGATAAGATCTTGCAAGATCATGCAGCAAGATCTTGTTACAAGATTTCATAAGAAAATGGCAGATCTTATGAGATTTTGTAAGATGAGTTTCACCAGGGGTGGCCTAGTTACATCGCGTATACGGTGGTCGAATACGGCGCATTTACGTAGCACCGTAAACGAACACCGTATACGGCACCGTATTATACCGTAATTGAATCGTAATACGGTGCACCGTATACAAGCACCATTTCCAGACCGAAAATCACCGTAATTTAGCCGAATACGGCCGTTTACGTACCTTATGGTTCGACCTGGGAATGAATACGAGAGATGCTCTTTTAATACAAACAACACGATGACTTCAGGATTTGCTATACTTCATTCCCGGTAGAAACTTGGAAATACCCGTATAGCGGTTTCTCTTACACTAACTTGCCTCATTTGCTCTAATGACATCTTCGATACAAGTATAATTTGGTATTCGTAATTCTGATAATTGTCCATCCTGATGATCCTTTTTCAATATTTGTTCAAGGTAGGTTTTATAGGAGCGCATTAGATTTGCTTCATCCATTGCTGCTGACGACTGCTGATTAAAGTTATTATTTGAAATATTTGTAGTTGTTGATGACTTTTGTAGTGTTGTATTAGAGGATGTTGTAGACTGATTAGTATTTGATTTTCGATCTATACTATGAAAACTTTTGCTTCTCGAGGGTAACTGTGGTAAGACACGTGAAAATGGACCATCAAGTGAATGAGCATTAGAAATATCATACTGATTTGATTTACGTGTTATTTGATTGGAAGTTTCATCATGAGATAATTTACGTGCTGATTTGATTGGTAAGGGTATTCTCGATGAACTCGTTATTCGAGCTGAATGAGGAGAGGAAGTGACGACTGAGGCTGATTGTCCTTCATTTTGGTGATGTTGATGATGTACATGCTTCTCGTGCTTATGAGATGAACGTGGAATCTTTGTTGTATATGTATTACTTAATTCATTATCTGCGCCTTGCAAAGATTGTGATGAGAATGCATTTTTAACTTCTGTTTTTAACATTGTCATTTCACGCTCCAATGACTGAATTCGATCGTTATCTAGTCAAAAAGAGGAGATAATGTGTATAAATCTATCAAAAGACAAACAATACATACACTGTCTTTGATTTGATTTATAATCAGTTAATAAAGACGTAAAATCTGTTTTAACAATCATAGAAGCATTATTATTTAAGCTTGATTTTTCTCTTACTGGACGTATAGTAGTTTCATTCATTGTAAATAACTCTAAAATGGCCGAAGCCTGTTAATATACCCAAGCATAATCTTCATGCTACTATAAAAATTCTGGTGCAAAAAAGCGAACTACTGTTTTCATGTGGCAATTACTGTAGCTGATAAAAACCTCTGAATTATACATGTCAATCGTTAATCATCAGCATTTCTACGTGGCATGTAAACAAAAATTCCTTTTATATGACTTTCAGTACAATATTCAATATAACGAGCCTTTACACCAATAAAACTAATTTGAAATCACGAAACATGAGAATTATATCGTAAATGAACTAAATGGTAGAAAAGTCCGTCAAACATTTTCGAGCAGTGCTTAAAAAATAATGTTGTTTTTGCAGAGATCCTTAATTTTATATTTCCTTGGTTATGTTTAGACGTTAATTGAATTCTAATCAATCCGTTTACTTACTCCTTCAAATTTTAGTATACTTCCTTACAGATCAGCGCACGTCAGAAGCGAATGAAAGGAAGCCATCTTGCATTTACGTTACCTCTCGACTTTTGACTGGTGTTTTACTCTCCGTCCGTGAATTAGTGAATGCCACAAAACATAGTGGACAGGTTTTTGTACCTTTTTTCCATCAAATTTTACTCCTAACGTGTATCCTCGGAATCGCATTATCAATATTTTTAAAAGATCATCAAATGAACTGTAACATAAAGCAACACTTTCTCTTCCGTGCTGCGAACCGTCATTTCTTTACAGACCATATGAAACCTTTTAACTATAATTTACAACATATTGATTTTCTGACGACTCAACCTCTGACTTTTTCCATTTCAGCTGTGGTCGTCCATTTAACTATTTTTGGTCTAAACTACGACCACCTCCGTGGATTGATATATAATAAACTCTTCGTTATGCAGATGTGTATGAGAAGAAAGGTGAGTAGAAGAAAATACATCATCAAAGTGGTATGTTTTAGAAACAGTCTCACAGTGATACTATATTCACAGGCAAACAAAAGCGTCATCTACGATACAGTATGCTCGAGATCAGTACTGCAAACCATTAATGGACCTGTCTAGAAGTTTCTTGAAATTTAACGTATTCGTCCACTTTCATGTAACTAGACGTTAATTTGAAAAATCACTTATGTTTAATAGCAGTCACTACTCATGGTTCTTTTTCGAATCTTCACCCGCAATTACAATCGCGGTTTCGATTGCATTGTCAGAATCGGAGCCACGGTTCTTCAGATGGTTCCACTTTTTCAGAACCGAGGCTTCTTTTAACCACGAATACCGGGGTTATATTTTGATGAATCAGCCATGTTTAGTGTTCATATAAGCGCACTTTTTCCGTGAGATGGAAGAACATTTTCCTAAAGATTTATACACATTTAATTTATGTTTGTATATTAATGATCGAGGAACTGCAAATAACAAAAACTAAAGATGTAAAGCACTAATAAACATGCAAGGATGAGTGAAATTCTACTGGACAAGTTATAGTTTTTCAAACCGTTCTTCAAAATCCGGTAGTGTTTTTGTAACACTTCGAGAATCCAAATTGCAGTTTTTTCCTGAAACGAGCAGATGTACTGCGTACACAGTGCAATTTAAAATTATGTTGTATTGTGTAACTCTCTCTTAAACTAAGAGAGATAACATATTTTTGTGACATTTTGTAGTACAGAGAAATTTTTGAGGCATCTTTAGAGAGAATTGAGGTGGTCCAGGTTCTATAGACTTCTTCGAACATAAGTTTCAAGTACATTTCCAGGAGTCCTCAGAATGCGATATTTTTCGTATAATGCATGTCTCACAGGATCGATTTACATAATAACAGAGAAAAGCCTTGTGCAGCATTTTAAGTAGCTCAATAACTTGACCAACTAAGCTGAGAAATTTAAACGAAGAGTAGACTATACGTAATGCCCGGCTTTATTCTGTTCTGCACTGTAAAAATAAACACTGAAATCTACTCTTACTGAGGCAGTAGCGCGGCCAAAATGCAAGATTGAGTCATTCTGACCACACCACTATGCTGAACAATTCACCTGTGCACTTTGCGAAAAAAACAGAATGTACGCCACGCAGCAAAATCTCATTAAAAACACTGTTGAGTAATCTTTATGCTCCATTATCTTATCACTGAATGATTTTATCAGGATATACTAAACTTCATGAGACACAGCAACTGAAGCTGTCTATTAACGTCCATATAATTGATCTGTGGTAGAGTTGGCACAAAAAGAATTGCACTGTTAATATTTTCAAAATTTCTCCTCCTTCTTACACTTGATTGAACTAGTTGTTCCCAAAAGATTCCCCGTTGAATTCTCTACAAAAATATATTGACAATTTTATTACAAAATCTGTTGGTGTGAAATGCCATGAGTAATTGTGAGAAGTACCAAAATATAGAAAAAATAAACGTATTTTTTCAAAGAGAGCGAAATTCTTTCATATGGTTTCACAAGCATTAAAACACTGTTTCAGTATATTTTTGGCAGTTTCATATACGCTCTTTCTCATTTTGTAGAGCGAAAATCGTTCGAATCTAAATATTCGACACAAAGATTAACTTTTCAGCAATCAAGTGAAAATAGCAAAAGTTGTTACCTTTTTTATTGCGCGACGAAACAAAACAAATTTTTTTACAAATCTTAGAGATCCGATCATAACGACCAATCATTTGTTTTCAAAATTAAAAAGATCAACCTGAATAGATCAAGTTCGACTAACGAGGGAACCTCACCAACTGATACCCTTTGTGGGAGCTCATACTCTGCTCATAGGTAGGACTCATAGTGTAGATAAAAACTCTAAAAGGATTCATCCCCTTGACTCTTGAAGACCTGGTTTTCTGGAAAACCAGTTTTTCAGAAACTCTAAAAAATAACC